TGACACCATATAGTGAATATATGGGGCTACATATAAAGCAATAAAACAACAAAAAAATGATACTGTGGATGTGTCTTATCTTAAGATGGGGAAAATTTTAAGCATAAATTGGTAGAAACCTAAGAGCTTTCTAGAGTTAATTCAGTTAGGTTTAAGAAACAGTAAACAAAACATAAAAAGTTTGCAGGGCACAAGATATACAGACTAGAAAAAATATTTTTTGTAATATGAGAAAGCGCTGATTTCTTCAAACTGAGAATAGTTTGTACTATCAGTAAAACAAAGTAGACCAAAATCCAAAACAAAAAATAGGCAAAAGACATTACTGGCTCTTCACAGACAAAGAAAGACAAATGACTGGTAAATACAGACATTAAAATAAGGAAGATGTATCTAATGTTGTCAACAGTTATAACTGTGATTTACCATCTTATTTTCTTTATACTTCATGTATTTTTCACTGTTTCTACAACTAACATGTATTAAAGTCCTAATCCTTCACCGTCACACCAAAATTCTAAAAAAAAAAACCCAAAAAACTACAAATGTCACATCAATCATGACTTTCTCAGTCACATTATATCTGTATTTTGTTTTATTTTTCTTCTCAAGACAGTGATTTCTTCACGTTTCCAATCATTCATCAAACTCTTTTTGAGTGCCTACTATTTGTCAGAAATAATGCTAAGAAACAGGAATTCAAACATGACTAAGAAACAGTCTCTACATTTGAGGAACTCACACATAGATATGAGAATAGGGATTTTTAAGCTGATAACACGGCTGAGCTGCAGATGGCTCAAGGCCTGAGGAACCAGGGAGGAGTTTCAGAAAACACTGGGTTTCAGGGAGGGGCAGGACACATCCCATGGGTTCACCAAGCCTCTTTTTGGCAGGTAGCATTTTGAGTCCCGTGTCTTAGCTCCCAGTGGTAGGAACTGAGACTCGGGATGCCAAACGTAATCCTTAAAAATCCTCCCCTTTCCTTGTTCCAGCGAGTTCATTCTCCCTAGACCACCTCACTAGGGATTCTCTTTGTTTTGGGTGGTACTAATTTTTACAATGACTGCTTTGATGTTAATGAAGATGAAGGTCCCCCAAAATAATATCTTATTATTATT